GCCCGCCGTGCTGCCTCCTGCTGCAGCCGCCCGTCGGGCCTGCCCCCTCCCGCCCCCTCAGCGAGGCGCCCCCTTGTCCCGGCTCACCCCCGCTCGCTTTTCCTCTCCCAGGAGGCAGCAGTACGTGGGGAAGCTCAAGTTCGCCTCCTTGGAGGCCGCGCAGGGTTCGAAGAAGCTCATCGTGGCAACCGAGAAGAATGTCGTGGCCGCCCTGAACTCCAGGAGCGGTGAAATCCGTGAGTGAAGCAGGGTTTTGCTGTGGGGACTACACCTGTGGCCCTTGGGCTAACGTGCCAATGAAGTTGCGTTACGTTTTCATACTGATAAATTAATCCTGGTGATACTGCTTTGTCAGACTGCGAGGATTCAGCCAGCAGATTCAGCAGCAAAAGCTGCTGCTTAGGGCAGGCAGACTGTTCTCTGCATAAGCTTATTGCCATAAAGAGCCTAGTTTAATAACAAAGACATGCCTTTGGGGAAACAAATCTTGTTCTCACTTAAGTCTATTTCTTTCAGTGTGGCGCCATGTGGACAAGGGAACCCCCGAAGGGGCAATAGATGCGATGCTGATCCATGGGCAGGGTAAGGAGAAGATGTGGGTGCTGTGCTGGGGCTAGCAGTTGTCCTTGGATGTGGGATCTCAATCGTGTGTTAGATTACAAGTTGAACTTGCCAGAGCTTATTGCCTTATTGATTTGAAATGGGATACCAATTCTGTGTTCAACTTTTCTTAATTTCCTGGGCAGATGCCATCACTGTGTCCAATGCTGGACGTATTCTGCGTTCCTGGGAGACCAACATCGGAGGGTTGAACTGGGAGATGTCACTGGACACCGGCAGGTAGGCTTTTGTGTCTGCACCGTCTCTCCCTTTGTAATCTTGGCTTAGGAAGGCAGAAAGGGATTGTTGACCTTGTTTGGACTTGCATTATAGGGAAAAGTTAGTTAGATGTAAGGTTTCTGAAAAAATATTTGGCTGAATTCCTTAGGAATAGCTGAACTTTGCAGTTAAAACTAATGTTGTTTCTATTTCATAGCGAATCAGTAAGAAGAAGAGATACAAGGTTTTTCATAGAT